TGACACAGTCCAGGTGCAGTGAGCTGTCGATTGGTCGGAGGACAACTTTGGTTTATAACTCACATTAAGTGGAGTATAAAATTAGAAACATACATTTTGTTAAGTCTGTATTTGGCTACAGCCTCTGCCCTGATGTCACACGACCGTCTGTCAATGCAGTTATGTTTGCCCAATTGGAATGATTGACAGGCTGCACCATGCCAGGGAAGTGGGCATTTTTGTGTTCTAATGTTTCTTTTCAGATTAAAGATAAACTACAAACTTCACCTGCCGCTGTGATAACACAGTAGTATGGATCATAAGAGGAAATGGGGCGAGCCCCTCTTTTGGTATAAACCACAACATGGACTGAGGACGACCTGGGAACGGCCAGCTGGAGATAATTGGAACAGTAATCTACACACACAGACACACAGACGAATACATTTACACATGGCTCACGACCAAGAGAGGGAGTATTGTAATGTTATTGTCATAGGTGGTCATGGTCCTTAACCTTCTAACAGAAAGAAGTGTAAAACGTATTTGTCCCATAGGGGGTCATTCTAAATTTAGTGTTGTGCAAATTCAAAAGGAGAAATAATAGCGCTTATAATGCACACATCAAACAGATCTACTCTTTAAGATAATAGATCATATAATAATAAGATAATAATAGAATAGAATGAAATAGTCTGGAGCTATAATGTCATTGGATTCAAGGAGCTATAGGTTAAAGTGTCGCTAAGAAGAGGTGTCAGAATAAACAATAGTAATAATAGTTAGACTAGTGAATAATCAAAATAGTTCTATTGTGAAAATAAGTATCAATAATGTCAAATTGTTCTAATAACTAAAGTAAACAGGAATCAAATGGAGTCAGATTTTAGATGCTTCTGTTTTCCACATCTGTAGGATCTAGTGCAGATGTGTTTATAGAGAGTATTAAAATGCAGACATAGAACAACAGGCTTTAACAATTTTTAAATCTAAAAATAGCTCAAATATAACATTGCTCGTGACGCAGCCTCTGAGCTGCTCCATTGGAGAAAAGGTTAAATGTTATTGTTTATTACAAACAGCTGATGTATTTACACATTAAAGCTGCACTAACTGACTTTGGGATTTTGAAGCCGTGGACCCGCTGGCCTCGCTCTTTCTGCTCCCCTCCCCGCACCCACGAAGCTATCGCCCCCCACACACACACAGTGTTGAGACGGAGCTAGCCTCTCCCAATATGGATAATACATGGATATGGATTTGCACGTGGATGGCGTGACCATAAAACGATAGAACCGGGAAGTGCGGAGGAACGAGACTTTCTTTTGGATGGCTGTCTCGCTAAGTAAGCAGTAACCGGTGATGAAGACACGAAGCTTCAGGTTAGCTCCTCGGCTTGTTGTGCTAACTCAGCTGTCTGTGCTAACGGACCTGTAGATTTCTCACGGAAGTGGGGGCTATTGGTCCGCGGTGATTGGTCACAATCTGCGACCCGAAACACATTCTCTTCCTTGTTTCATCAAAACTCGATCTAAAATACAATGTCACGCCAGCACAAATCTGCGCTACTTTTTCGTCAAAAGGACGTATATCCCAATGCACTACATGGGCATGGATAGCATTTTCGGAATGAATACGAAAATAAAGTCAGTTAGTGCAGCTTTAAGTTTTGGACAACACTTTAAACAGTTATAAGCAGCGGACAGAAGCCATGAATGTGCTTTTGTTTATTAAATAATTAATTTAAATAGCCATATAATTGTAGATAACGTTTTTTAATTAGTTCTCTTCTTCCCGCTCCCTTTCAGGCAACTTGATTTAGATTTATGTCTTTAATATTGGAGAACTACTGTGTTGTTTTTGGAATTGTCTGAAATACAATACATAAAATAGTGATTTGCAGAACAAGAACCAGCCAATGAAAAATCATCTATTGCCGATGCTATTGCTACAATTAGAACCAACAGAGATTCAAAAACATTTAAAAGCATTTTGATGTATTTGGGTATAGCACAAAAGTAGATATTTAGATATTTTTGAGAATTTTAAAAGCTGTCGATTTGTCAGCACAGATTAGAGAATGTGGAATAAACATGGAGCAAAATCTGATAATGAAAGCAAACCACAGTATAGAGGGATTTATTAGATAAAAACATATGTTTAAGAATATGGCTCAGTAAAAGCAAATATGCAAACATATTTGTAAATAGATTAGAATAGTTTTAAACTAATAGTGAATAGTTTTAGTGCATACATTACAGACGAGGTTGATGAAGAATCAGTAATGTGATTTGTAAAGGAATGTTTCAAATGTGGTTGTTAGTTGTGTTTTCTCTGAATTAACGTCTTCACAGGAATCCTGCCTGAACTAAAGAAGCATGGATGCTGTCACTCATGATGTCACGGATGGATGAGAACGTGGATGTGACCTATTAATGATAGGTCAAAGAGAGGGAGTGTTGTAGAATTATAATGTTGTATACTAATGATTTCCAGTTGGTGTTTGCAAACATGTCTTTGTGCAATATTAAAGCCTGGATGTAATGGAATTCAGACAAGCACCAAGGACAAGGCTTCTGTGATAAAAGTATCATTTTCAGGAACAGCGTGTCTCTAGCGGCCTGAGACACAAAACTGGACTAAACCAGACTGGGACCAGCGTCAGACCATGTGACGTCATCGGAGATTCTGATAAAACCGTGGGGAGGACACATTGGGGGAAGTGAGAGCACAGGGATAGAGATTTAGGGAGTAGCTCCGGGAGTTCTGTATCAACATTTAATTGTAAAGAGAAATAAATGTACTATTGGAACTCTTGAATCTTGGCCTTATTTCTGTACCAAATTCTGAACACGTCGGTCAAATCATTTTTGACAACATCATGCTCCCGTGACCTTATGCAACTGCTTTGAGTGTGTTCACCGATGCGGAAATACCGTTTAATAATATGAATAAACGTATGGCGCACCTCCGTGAACATATCCTACTGTTATATAAAGTCCGTGGAATGTATGTGAGCAAAGACCATGGATGTATTATATTAACTGGATAGGGTATTACTAGCTTGTAGCTGAATAACCCATGTGCTCAGGGGATTCTCGCGGTACTGCAGACTGAACCAGACTAAATTCACGTGGGCTACCCAGAAATTTTCCCCATAGAACTCAATGCATATTAAAACAGCTCAACCTCAGCTGACAGAGAACCTACAGCTTTAATAAAGATCGGATTTTGTGGGGATTTTAGTGTTCCTTGTCATCCTGAACTTTTTTTCTTCTTAAATCCTTCGGTTTTGTTTAAATCCACACTTTAGTGCCACAAACTCTGCTCCTCTGGCTCTCGCTCTAACTCCCGCTCTGATGAACTGCTCTGATTGGTCAGAGCGCAGCCGAGCCCCTCTGTGCACGTGCGTGAGACCCGGTGTGAGACCCACACACGCGTGTTTGGCGCAACGCATTATGGGAGATCATCCACTGCGCAGAACCGGGAGGACCAGACGATGTCCAAATACAGGCGAGTTTCCCATAAATCTTTGCGAGTTTCAGGCAACTTCCGCTAATCTTTCAGCCCCCATGCCGTCACAAAGCGCCACTGAGCACAACCATTCATTTGAATAGGGCGCCATCTTGGATCGCCGGGGCTTGGCAAAGACACGCTGCAAAGCTGCATATTGGAGAAGATCTGTACACAAGAAGCCGCTAGCATAGCTCTGTTAGCATCAGAGCCGGCCGACTACTTCCGCCACTTCCGGCGCTGGCCAGGACGTTTTGGTGTGAAGACCCCTGCGTCTGAAAACTAGAGAATGCGCGTCTGGTGAGCGGGGTTTGAGCGTTTGCGGTCTGAATGCACCATCATACAGGCATGTGGGGGAAGTGCCTTGCTTAATATCACAGTACTCACCAGGCCTCGAGATCTGATGGAATCAGGCAATATGACAACATGATGACTTCAAAACAAAATTATTTGTAAGTAAGTAATGTTTATTTATATCTCACATTATACAGACCAATGTCACCCAAAGCACTTTACAATGTTCAGAGTCAAGATATTGTTCCAACCACTCCACACCCGAGTTCGGTAAAGTTAGCTTGATATTCACAGATTCGGGCTTCCGCGGTCAATATCTCACGAAAGCCCAAATCTGTGAATATCAAGCTAACTTTACCGGACTCCACACCCGTTGATGACGGAAGCGAGACGCCAAACACACTGAGGCATCAAAACCCCCAATCAACACCATCCATTCACTCTCTCGTGCATGTTTTTAGTGGTAGGGGAAACCTACGCATACATGAGGAGAACATGCAAACGCCATTTAGAAAGCCCAATTTCCTGGTTCCTGGTTTCGAACCCATCACCTTCTTGCTGAGAAGCAACAGTGCTAGCCACTCAGCCACGTGTCGCTAAACTTCACAAATTATCCAGTCATTCATGTTGTAATCTAATAAGATTCCTTGTCACTTATTTTGAATCAGATTAGAGCGGGAGATCCTATTTTCATAAATGAATCAGTTTAATAATGAGTGGAGTGGAGAGTTTGCACCATCCCTTTTGCGGCTCTCTTGCTTCAATGACACCTGTACATATTCTATATCTAAGAAACAGAATGTAGCATTTTTTATTCAAATCCGACTCATATGCAGAGATGCATGTGTAATGCTTGGGCTGTTCACAATTAGGTCAGTTCTAACTCAGCTCCTTCAAAATGTGGTCAGTGGCGCCCAACAAGTGCATTTTGCGATCTGTGTGGAATGAAAATGTCCCTCTTGCAATTCTTTTAAATAAACATAATTTATTTAAAAAAAATAATTTTCAGACATCATATATCATCAATTCTGTCAGGAACTCAGGTTGGCTAGACACACACTATTGAAATTAATAAGATATAGATCATTTTTATTCTTTAAATATGGCTACATAGTTTTGAGAACCTTTCACCTTGCTTCCTTTTTAGTAGACTCCACCAAGCATTTCTTTGGTCGACAACAACCCAACCACAGACATATATACGGAGTAGAGGATTAAAACCATCCATGCCTCTTTGCTTTTCCTACAGTAAAAACTCTTATGTTGAGTCTGCTTGTACGAGGAGGCCGTCTCTTTGAGCTCAGGAAGCACCCCCCCTCACACACACAGGGTCCCGGGATGAGAACCTCTGTCCCGGCTTTTCCCACCGCTGCGGCCCGCTCACTATCTACACACACACCCGCACCAACAACACGCTGAGTCCCATCAAACAGCCCCCGCCTCCCCTCCTCTCCACACTGCCCTCATCTCACACAAACAAACCAATCTCCTCTCATCTGTGGACACGCTCATTACAAAGCAGAAACACACAGGCGACAAACAGGGTCAAGTTCAGCTCCACAAGAAAAATAAAATGTTTCGGGCTCCACTGAGAAATGTCTTACTTTTACAATAAAATCAGTCTCTGCATTTCAGATTCTTATTGTGGGAAAATGTGCATTATTCAAAACCAGTAGAAAAACACCGCAAAAACTGATCAAGATAAGTCAGTGATTAAAGTCGATCTTCACGGTCTTAAAAAAATGCCAATGGGACAAGCAAACATTTTTCCTAAGGGCAGTGGAAATGCTTCGTCTCAACAAAAAATATTAAATCCATTATTTAATTACCACAATTTGCCTTCCTTTTGGTATTGTATAAATGTATGATTGATTTTACTGTATTTCAAATTTTTCATTATTTCTATTATGAGTTCACGTTTTTTTTTTTGAGTTCTCATTTTTGTTATGTGATCATTTGAATGCATTTAGCTAAATCAAATCTTATAAATAATATTTGTAACATTCCAAATGCATTGGTACAGCACAATGGTACAGGCACTTCTAAAACACATTAAAACACAACTAGATTAATTCAAATACAATACAAATGTGAACTTGTATTACTTAGATTTGAGTAATCTCTGACATTCCCAGGATTTCTACTTGTAAATACAAGTTAACATCGGAAAGAGAAAATAAAAAAATTATAAAAATAACCTGAATGATCAGCCACAATCATTGTTTCTCATGATGTATTCCCAGTACCTTTAAGACTTTTGGCTATAACAAATAATTTACAATGCATTTAACAGAAAACACACATTCTTATAAACAAAATGTTCCCAAAATCGCTATCAGTCATTATATTAAAAACAACATAGAAAAATACCACAAACCGGAAGTGGATCTGCATCAAAATAATTCATAGATATAGTCTCCATAAAATGTGTAACTAACTACACTTGATTGTAGTAAACATTAAGTGAAGGTCCATAAGGCAACATGTTACACGTTTATAATCCTCCAAAGATCAGGATTTATCTTAAGTATGGCGTTAAGAAAACCCAAAACACTCACAAAGAAACAATGTCATAAAAATAGCAGCAGTTGTGTGCTACAAAAGTCTTTGGCTAATCTGATGAGGCGAGATTACATCCAGCCCATCCACACAAATGCTGGTGTTTCCCAAATATGCCATTGTTTATAATAGCAGACTCGTGAAAGGCACTTAAGGAGATAGTCACAATATAAGACTGTAACAACAAAAGATTAAAGGAGACATATTGTGCTAGTTTATGGAAATAACCGAGTAGACAATGTTTCTAGTTTGCTGTCTGTTCCTTGTAAACGTTGAAAGCGATGTAAAATTATTTGGCGATGTCGACTCAATTAGACACAGTTTTAGATCATAATTAAATACCTATATTTTAGTAAAGAATATGATTTGAAAAGCATAGGTTTGAGGTGATTTGACAAGTTACAGAAAACTTAAGACAAATATAATTGCCAATAAGGACAAGTGCTTTCCTTACTACATTGGCAAATCATGTGTTCAATGTGAACAAAAACGATTTAAAAAAAGAACAACATCTTAATGCTGTGTAACTTTTCTGCTGGATGGTCTGATTTGTAAACAAAATGTATAACTTATCTGTCTTAAAAGAATAAAGTTGGATACCCCAGCTTTAAGCACATTTGTCTTCATGGAAACAGATCTGAGGAGAACGCCAGCAAATACTGAACTCCTCCAGAAAGGTCACATGCTGCAAATATCGTTCATTTTCATTCTAGCGAGCAAATGTAGCAGTTGTATTAACTTTTAAGGCATTGGATGAGTCGAAAAGGACTCATGTTTGAACTGCTGTAAGTGCTGGGCCATGGGAGATGTACAGACATGACATTATACAGGGATACTCAATTACAAGAATAACTTACTTGAATACAACTACCAAGTAAGCTAGGGATGTGAGAAAACCATTACAACAATGTTAAATCTATACATTTCGATTATGCATAATATGTCTCCTTTAATATTGGATAAATGTAGTGTTTGGAGGCTTTTTGCAAAAACATGAGACATTGCACTTGATTGGCCTGTAACCACTTCTCCCTTTCAAGTTTGTAGTTCAGTTTTCACATTCCCATAGACTTGTAACCCGGTGAACTTGTCGATGCAAATTTCCAAAACAAATACAATCGAATGATACTGGTCAGGATCCCCGGCATGTTGGGAACCTGCAACACAAGAAAACGCCAAAGGATCAGCTTTTATAATGATACTTTGCAGGTTTTCACTACTCGTCTGCCATTCCATTTTAGTCCGTTGGCCCCGATTTCTATGGAAATTGAGGAATCAAGGTTTTACTGTGTGGATCCATGGTAACTTTGACTACTTTTTCTTAAATATTTAAAAGCCATGTAGTTTAAAGTAATTCACATATATATGAAAAATTATGTGTTGATGCCACTTTACTGCATGTTATCATTAAGAACAGAATATGTCACTAACCACCATGTAGAGGTCACTGACCTGGTGCCCGTAGAGCACCCAGGACGTGGAGGTGAAGAATGTGGCTACAGTCAAGGGAAAGGACAGGCACTGCACATTACCACTGCGCACGATGTTTACCTAAAGAGGAAGACAACAGTGCATTTGTTAGGCAAATACAGCAGGCGTGTGTTGTGGCTCTGCACCGTCATCACATACTATACTGCACAGACTATATCTTTAACATGTTTGCACACTTCTGTCTTTTTGCACAATCTGAGTGACTCTATCAATGCCAAATGTGACATGTACATTTATCCAGTGTGAGATCAATAAAGTCTATCTTATCTCTTGTATTATCTTATGTACACACTTCAAACTTATAAAGCACATAAGGAACTGCATTTTCACTGGTGAAGCTGTGTCTTCAGCAGACGGAGTGAGGTTACTTTCACCAGTTACAACCAGAATGTTCAAGTAGCAATATGTAAGATTTTCATGTCAAGTCATCATTAAATGGCCCTAATCTGTCAAAAGGCATTTACAAAACTAATGATAACAGTAGTTCTGCCGAGATATTTGGATTCCAAAAAATAGTTTTACAGTCTTGTTATTGTTTTTATTTCAATGTCCCGCTCTCCATTGTTTTACCAATCAAAGTCCGTGATTCGGGTTGCCAGAACTCACTACAGCTCACTGGTTAAGAAAGACATGGCTGCCGAACTAAAAAGGGGTCGTTATGATTCTCAAATCATTAATGACAAAACAAGGAATAAAATTCTATCTTGGTGAAAAAAGTGTTGTTGGTTATATATTTTTCGTTGACAAAACTCTTTATTTCAGATAATATTGTCCCAGCTGGATTTGTCGCATTTCTGACAACCTGACTCAGGGAGAGTGCAGTACCACTTTTGGCCAGATTTGTACATACTGCTCCTTTAATACATATCTTCACTATTATATTTTTTCAACAAGTAACATGAATTGACATTAATGAAATGCCATTCAATAACTGTTTTGAACGTAAATGCAGACTTTGACAAAGACGTTCCCTGGAAATCTGATGCACCATATTAAAAGTCAAACGATGAAGGCTCAATGAGTTAACATTTGATACGCTGCAAAAACAAGTACACCTTTGTCAAACAAATGTCACTGAAGATACAAAATGAAGGAACATTGGGGACAAGGTTATAAGACAGATGAGCACAATAACAGGATAAAGCAGACGAGAGGAAGAAAAGCAGGAAACGGGGGACTGCGGAGGCTCTGAGGCTGAAGGAGAGAAGGAGACAAACAGGAAAGTGGATTTGGACAAGAGACCACATAAAAGACTCTTTGCGGATGGACGCGTGTGCAGGGGTCACAGTGAGCGCAAAAAGGTTATTGGAAAATGGTGTGTAAGAATGTGACCTTACTGACAAATGAGTCTGATGAAAATGTTAATATGAGCTCAATAAAGTTCTATGTCTATGCAAACAAAGTGTAAATTAGTGCAGTGTATTACCAGGTCTGTGAGTGGGGACAGGTACATGCTGACAGTGATGGCGCTGCACGTCAGGCCGAGCTGATTGAGACGAGTTTCTCCTTCCGGGAGAAACGTGGAGAAGTAGAACCAGCCTCCAGCCAAAACTGCACCGGCCAACAGTGTTTGAGAGAGGAACGGCTTCTGCAACACAAAAGTAGAGGTTCAGTACTCTATATGATGCTAAAAGTGTAGAACGTTAATTATGATGTTAAGACTGATTATTCATATCTATATCTGGCTGCTTCTCAACGTGGACTCTACACCACCTTCAACTATAGTGTGGTATAGTCCAGTATGACAGAAAAAAAACAAAACACCAATTGGGTAAAGAAGCAGGGGAGAGGAAAACAATCTCTTAATTCTTCATCATCATCTTGCTGGTGTTCATTTTGATTAAGTCAAAAAGGAGGTTATGTTATCCGTATCTTCCAAACAAACTATCCAGTTTTATCATGTGTAAAGACATGTACTAAAATAACTGATGCCTTCATTTACTATACCAAATGTCAAGCCAGGACGTGTTTGAAATGTGAACTTGGATCAGAAATCAATGATTACATAAAGGAAAGGCTTGTGTGTGCTGCCAAAAGACACATCAAAACTGGATTTGCGGGTTCACATCAATTACCTTTTGTTTGGTGTAGTGGATAAACACAGTGATGTACAGCGTTTGCAGTGCGGCCCCTATGACATTCACCAATATGACAGTTTGGTCTCTCTTCAGGATCCCGTAATACAACCACCCTAGGTTACTACGGAAACAATTAGAGCATCATCATGAGAAGCAATGTGCAGGAATCCACTATACTACCTTGAACAAGACATAACACTTACTTAAGACAAGTGGTGAGGAAGGGCAGGAACTGGATGTTGTCAGTGCTTTTGGTTGCCCTCATTTTTTTCAAGTCTGTCCTAAAAGGTAAAAGAAAACAGAGTACATCAACGTGTTACACTTTCAACCGCTCACTTTAAATTCATTTTTATATGGACAGTGTAATACAGAAAGACTTATTTACGATGCTACAAACAGGAATATCAATAATCATATGGAATCATGAATTAGCTATGCATTGTAAATACATAGCTCTTCTCCTAAAACGTTTAATAATAGATACGCAAATGAATCCATGCACACTTGTTAACCACACAGACAGAATGATTTCTACAGTACATGCTCTCAATTACACATATATCGTGCTTGGCAATGCAGACTAGACTAATGATGCGTTTCATTATTTAAGTTAGAGTCTATGTATGTAAGTATTATTTTCTTTGCAACAAGAGCCCAGATTTTGAGTCCAAGAATAGAACTTACAGTCCAGTCGAGAACATCCCGACCGTGAACACGATGCAGGCCCATGACAGAAGCGACATAAACAACTCCATGAAGCGAGAATACGATGAAAACTAAATACCCCACAGCACAGACTATCGATTCGGGCACTTGTTAGATTCTCTGCATTAATAATCAATGCAAAAGTGAAGCTGATCCTGTGCTGACGTCTGTCTCTGCAGCCAACTTCCGTGTTTGCAAAGTGGAGGACTTTTGCCGCGCTCTGATTGGCTGCTGCGCGGAACAGAATTTTTTCCCTTCAATAATCAACACACTTTATTTAGGAGAAATGATTGATCAACAAAGTAAAACAAGAACAAAGCGCTGTTACTAAGATTTATGTTGACTTATTTGATAGAAAACTAAGTAGGTTTAATTTAATTTTATCGAGCCAATAATAATAATGTTCTACTCTTTAGAAACAGCCTGTGATTCAAACTGCCTTATTAATTGAAAAGGGGAAAAAGTAGAAAGTGGTGGGTACATTGCATAGACTGTACATTGATAGCCCCTCAGCTAGTTCAGACAAGTTACTGCATTGGAAAAGGTCAAGCAGTCTATTTTAAAGTACACTGTCTATTTTAGTGAGTGTCTGCGCCTCTTGTTTGTCTCTTCAGAAATGTGCTGCTTTGCTTTGAATGTTTCTCATGGCGTCCAGCTTTACGTTTCATGTTTCCCTCCACGAAACTGTTTGATTAAAATGTATTAATTTACGTTGTTAGTAAATACATCGGTATGGCATTAGTAATTATTCATTATCTCTATGAAACCTGAACCTCTGAATGTATTGTATTCAGTTGGTTTTTATTGCTGCATTTTCTGTAAACTTACGAACTGTTCACCTTTTCACAGATCTGACTTAACCTCGTGGAGAATCATCTACTTGTGCCCATGAAGGGTGAATTACATTTCAACAATCCAGGTAATCCAGTCCAGCCTTGCAAGTCAAATGAAAATATCTAGTAGGATATTTCCATTTTAAATTATACTATATACAAATATAAAGGTAAAGGTGCATTAATCCCGTAGGGCAATTCATCCTCTGCATTTGACCCATCCTGATGTCACTAAGGAGCAGTGGTCATCATAGTATAGCGCCCACGAACCCATTTCCTGGTGTTGATGCTCGGCTTGGTCAGGACTACCGGAGCTGGGGGATTTACGTGTGTGCTTGTTTTTAGTGGTAAGGGAAACCGGAGCACCCAAAGGAAACCTATGCAGACACAGGAAGAACATGCAAACTCCACTCAGAAAGACCGATTCGAATCCAAAACCTTCTTGCTGACAAGCAGGAGTGCTATCCACTTCGCCACCGTGCCTATATTCAGTATGATTTTAGTTTATTGCAGCCTTGTTATAGGAAGTTATGTTCTTTATAGAACTTTACTTTATTTCGGCTGTTTTGCTGTGTAAGAAGTAACCGGTAACGACGACACAGGAAGTTTCAGGTTCGCCTCCGCCATGATGCTCGTCTACCTCAGCTGTTTGTGCGCGCTAACGAGAGACCTATAGCTTCTTTCAAAAAAGAGGGGGCCAGTGGTCTGCTGTGATTGGTCACATTCTTGATCTAAAATAAATGTACACTCCAGTACAAACCTGCGCTACTTATTAATCAAAAGGAGTATATCCCAATGCACTGCATGGATAAGGATTGAATTTCCCTAATGAATACTAAAATAAAGTGAGGTAGTCCAGCTTTAAAGTAGCAATACAGACTCTGGCCAGAAGTGGTATTGCAATCACTGTCAAAATTCTGTAGTTCTCTCCTACTCACCCTGACTCAGGTCGCCAGATACGTACATGGATCTATAACACAAGTTGACAGCCAAAAAATGGTCAGGGGTTTTTCAACTAATTTTGGTGTTCTGAGTCCGAATATCACATGCATTTTGCTCTATCAGGTCAACTTTTTGAGATACAGCCATAGTGTTATGGATTACGTACATCTATGTTATTATGAATTCTGCTTATCAAATTTTATGGAGTAAATAAAAACTGAATGACTTTGGATACGTTGACTTTTATTTCTTGAGGAAAACTGAAAAAACGTCAAGGGTTTCTGAGCTGATGATCCGCAGAAATTAGTTTTTTACGCAAAATCGATTAAAAAAAAATTTCTGTGACAAAAAATCCTGACCTGATTGAGCAAAACCAAGGTCAATTTCAATTCAGCTGGAAAACCCTGGACTATTTTCCAAAAAATTTTTTTTGTTACCCAGTGTAATTTTATCTGAATTCGGGGTGGGAACCTCAGGATACCTCACAATCCGATACGAAACGCGATACAAAGCTCACGATAACGATTATATCACGATATGACGATCATCGATATATTGGTCAGAAATATACTGTTATAGAAATCTTTTAGTAAAGCAATCTGAATAAACACAAAATATTTATAAGTGTAATTTATTAACTAATTCTCAACTCTGGATTCAAATACAGCACATACTGGCATAAATAGTGAAAAAATACACTTTATTTCATGATAAATGGAATGGAGATGCGTAATGTAGCCATATATTAAGTATTGATACTAATTTTCCAAAAAATTATAAAAAATAAAATAATTCTTTTAAAAAAAAATCAATACTTGGCAAAAGCATATTGATAATTGATCGCGTGAAAAAGTATCACGATACATCACGATATTGATATATTGTCACACTGTTTATAGCTGTCCCACCCATGGGCACAGGGGGCACCGTGGTACTGCAAACTAAATTCACATGGGCTACCCAGAAAAAAGTCCCAACTCAATGCAAACAAAAACAGCTTGACCTCAGCCTACAGAGACCCTGCAGCCTTCATAAAGATCAAATGTTGTGGGAATTTTAGTGTTCCTTGTCATCCTGAACTTTTTTTCTTGTTAAATCCTTGGTTTTTCAATAAATCTACACTTTAATGCAACAAACTCTGATGGTTTTATTCCCACTCTAACGCCGCTCTAACTCAGTTCTAGCCCCGCTCTGATCAGCAGCTCTGATTGGTTAGAACTCGGCCGAGCCCCTCTGTGCTCGTGCACAAGAGCCACACACGTGTATTTGGCACAAATCATCACGGGAGCTCGTCCACTGCGCAGAACCGGGAGGACCAGAGTTCCGCTAAACTTTTGATCCCCATGGCTGTCCCATGCACTACTGAGCACAAGCCCATGATTTGAATAGGACGCCATCTTGGATTGCTGGGGCTTGGATATGCAGCCAAATCCAGCTGGAACATAATAGATAAATAGCTAAATCATACATCTTTGTTTTCCACTTGCAGATGCCGTTAAAGTAATCAAATTCACCAACATTATGCCTCATTCTGTCTCCAATTGTGCAAGTTCTCCCACTCAAAAAGATGATGGAGGCCTGTAATTATATTCATAAGTATACTTCAACTATTAGAGACAGAATGATTGATTCTTAAAGACATTATTTGCAAATTATGGTGAAAAAAAGTATTTGATCACCAACAAACAAGCAAGATTTCTGGCCCTCACAGACCTGTAACTCCTTCTTTTACCCTTTAGATGCCAGTGTAGCAGAAATGCTTCATGAGCTCTTGAATCCATGACACTTTCTATACAGTGACCTGGCATCACACAAACTTTTTATTTTAAACATGTTTTACTTTTAATTATTGTCTGTTATTGATTGATTGTATTAGTCATCTGTCTCTTACAACATTTGAGGTCTGCAGCTTTTGTTTCACACAAGATTTGGAAAAAAAACATGTAAAAATTGCTCATTTTACATTTTGTCATGCAAATCAAAGCAAAAATCCATAAGTTTACACACAAGGGTGAGTTCCAGGAACCATTGCACATGTCTTTAGTGGAAGTGGAAACTAGTGCACCTGAGAGAACATGCAAACTCCACATTGAAGGGCTTGGTAGGATTCAAACCCGGGACTCAACCATTGTGCCACTGCCCAATGTCTTCTCCACTAGCCCAACTTTAGAACAGCTTTCAGACAGAAAAGAGGAGCAGGGATATCTTTGAACAACCAATCGCCTTTCAGCCCAAGCTTCCTAACACTTTCTGGTGTGTCTTGTAAAATATAAACCAAGGTGTTTTGGAAGGATTTCATTAGCTATACATGTACGTCATAGTTTCACCTTTTGAATAGTTTCCGATAGGCATTTACTAGAAGCCGCTGTTTGGGCTGACATCTTGGAGCTGGAATGTAAATACATCTCCTCCATCACTGCACGGTGCCGTAGTATGACATCATCCGGGGTACAACATTGCGTTTGAGGCGCAGGTCAGTAAATGCCTCCATGTTAAGTCTTCGCACTCACTCAAAGCTTCCCCGCGTGTTGACCCTCTGCATAGATACATAGGTGCTACATCGCCGCCATTTCTTAGATTATTTGATCATCTGTAGAAGACTTGAGCTGTGACGTGATGATGGAAAGACCAACAAGTCGGTTTTGTGTCCTGACTTTGAATGTGATGTTGTGTGGTTTGACATGGAGCATAGACTTTTGACAGTTTTCAGTCAGTTTGTATAGGTAAGTTAGTTCAGTGCGATTCTGTTCCTTCCAACACGCCACCATGTTCAACTGCCTCAGAAAGTTAAAATGAACTACAAATCTGCAGTAATAGTTTTGCATTACATGTTGAAATTTGGTCCAGAAAACTCCCTTGTCGATTATTTCAGCAATAGCATAAATGGCAATAGCAATAGCATAAATGAAATGGTTCAATATCAGCCAAGACATTAAAGTAGGTCATTATCAGAACAATTTTTTTGCGATTTTGCCCACCCCTATTTAACAAAGAATCAAGTCTCCTCTAAGACAGATATGTCCAAACTAAGTTCTTTAACCACTCCATTAATGTAACCTTGAATCAAACGCATACATCTACATGAGAAACTCAGTAATGGAGATTTTTTTCTCACAGTCCTAAAGGTGAGGACTCGTATTTCCGCTTGGGACATCCTAGAATCTAGAATGGACCACCCAGTCTCTCACGATTCAAGTTAAATCACATCATTATTTTCCAAGTTCCAAATCGCCAATACATTTCTCTGCTTTGACGTTCAGGAAACCATAACATTAATGGGAAAACACTGGGTTCAATGGAAAATTACCTTCTGCTCACAGTTGTAACTCCGAGCTCAGTTTTAATAAAATAATAGTATAAAGAGTCTTATAAATTTCCATGCTCTGATTAAATATAGGGCCTGCTTTGTATTGTATCATCTGTTGTGCTCACAGAATGAGCCTTGTCCAAGAAAATGTAAGGCTTTGGGTGCAATTTATGAATCCAGGTGCTAAAATGTGAGTAAAATAGCTAGTACAATTTTCCTGGTTTAATTCATCTGACACGGGAATGATAAATGAGTTTGTCTAATTTAAGGAGGTGCTAATCATGTCTACAGAAGGGGCAAACCTTTGATAATGAGACCCTAACTTGTACAAAAATACGCTATCATTTTGGAGAGAAATGTGAGCAGTGCAAGAGTGACATTTTCACACCCAGTTGACAGGTTTGAGGGGGCTCTGGTCTCCGCTGCCCCCCTCCCCTTCAGTCCTCCTTGTTTGGTTTTGTGGTCGTGAGATGAAAGGTTAAGGAGGCCCAGATGGAGGGAAAAACAAATTTGAGTTTGGTGGAAGCAGATTTATGATTTCAAGCAGGTTCTGAGAGGGATGAGAGTCAGCAGCAGATGTCCATTTGGTCTTATTATTGACCAGAGAGGTGCATGTTTCAGCAGTTTTCCCCCCTTGAACATTTTACTGCAAAATGTCTTGTTTTAAGTACTTTGATTACTCTTTCTTGATCTGTGTAGATTTGAACTGGCAAATAAGCATACCAGTAGAACAAGAAAATGAATTATTTTGTTACTTAGGAAAAGAATATTTTAGAATCAGTTAAAATCTTTCTATAAAAAAGTTTCAAGCAAGACATAATTTAGCATCACATTTGTTTTATTTCTCACAAAACATTTCACATTGTAAAACACTTTCTTATATTATACTATGTACAAATTTACATGAACAAAACGTCGATGAAAAAAAACCACAGAGTTCATTATTTGCGTTTTCTTCAAAGTTGTCCATTGCAACTTTTGTGCTACACTTGGGATCATCAGACAAATGAATGAATGAATGTACCATGTTGATATTGTTGAAGCACTAAAAATGAAGCAAAATTACGCACAGATCTCAACTCCCAGATTAACTTGTTCCACATGTGAATAATTATGATATAAAATTCTAAAAAATTTTGTTTTGGAGAACTGAGTCAAATGCTGCGTAACTATAACAACAGCTAGCACATTCAACAACATATCAATACATAAACAGTGCATATGTACCAGTGACATAGATTTTCTTTTTGCAGTTCCGCTCATCAGAAAAAAACAGACAAATGTGCGTTATTGTCCAGACATTGTAAAAAAAAAAAACTTAAATCTTCAAGGTTTTTTAGTTTTCTTCTCTGGAATGATCGACATCCCACAATCGCGCAGCCACGTCACATACATGCACACTTCACTCACTTATAAAAAATCTGTATAAAAAATTCTGTCTTCATAGTCCCAATGACCAGCAATGGGTTTGCAATAGTCTTTGATGAAGTTCATTTAAGTCCTAGTGTAGCCATAGTGCTAATAAGACACAGGCTAAAGTGATGGAAGTGGATAAAGAAGCATGCTGGGATCCTGAGCTGCCAATACTCCTCTGCACATTGGGCTCCATCACATCTGGGTCGTCTGAAAAAGAGAGAATGAAAAAACGGAATTTAGTATTTTGTTAATTGTTTTAACATTTCAAAACAAGACATATTTTTCAAACGGGTTGGACATGGTCAAATTGAAGGAGCAAATATTCAGGACCATAAAGATCTGTTTAACATGGATTATGAGATTAAATATTATGTCTGAAAAAAAATAAAATAAATGTCCTTTTTCTCATTATAAAAATCTATATACAATATTTTATCATGGTATGTAATGTTTTTGAGGGCCACACCCACAATGTTGTGAAGTAGACAAAAGGTGACACTCTGTAATTTAATAAGAGATGGTGGACTACTTTAATCAGTGATAGAAATACATAAAAGAAACTGATCTAAGAAATATTTAGGGAGACACTTATGGAAACCCTGTGTAGAAAGAGTCCTGGATATCATAGCTTGTGTGGAAACTCTACTTCTTTGGCCTAGTGGGTTAACAACTGATGAACTTGTAGTCTGCTGTAGACATTATGTGATTTATATAATTGCAGCCGTATCAAATGTGCATTATAATTTCACGTTTAGTTCAGTCTTGCAACATTAGCTTTGACCTTCTCGTGTTGCTTAATAGTTCTGTCTGCACTCCTCACCTGCTGGGAGCCTGTTTGACGGGTTGTGCACGCCTCCTGCTGCTTGGAACTTAGTTTTTCCCAAATCAAAGTTCTTTGCCATCTCCTCTGCGTTGGTTTTGTCCAGATGTGTTTTCCCTTTATGGCCAACCACATCCACCCGCAGCCTCAGGCACTCCTCTCCGTGGTGATGCATGGGTTTAGCTGCAGAACAATAGGAAGATACATGTTAGTTTTATGGACACAAGTTCTCATTTGCCATGGTTAAAAGGAAAGTTCACATTGGTAATAGTTCTATTTACCAATGGGTCGGGAATACTGTCCTATTTTAAGTTGTTCACTTTTTTGTGGTGAAATGTGGTCAAATTCACTGTCTTATAAATGTCCTTCAAACCAGTGAAAACTTAGGTTACAAGGAAATAACCACACAATTTAGATTTGATTATACAATTTGTATTCTAAATTTAATTGCCTTAATGTACGAGTGTAGCCTTCTTTCAACCACATTTGAAAGAAGGCTACCATTTTGAGTACTAGTTTCAAGTGACAAATTACTTGTTGATTGTTATTGCAAGTGAAAGAAGACATTTTGAGCTTGTTCCATTGGCTACTTTGGTTTCAGGTGAAAACAGAAAAAAATCCCCAGAGAGCAAAGGCCCTTCATGTCTGATGAAGGGCCTCAGCCCGAAACGTTACTTCGTGGTTTGTAAATAAACGACACATGGGAGCAACATAGCTGTGTGAATTTTTCTCTGTTTTCACTCTTTTTGAATCTTGCACGCTAGTCCAGGCTACTGGGATGTGCGGCCTTTCTTTAAACCAACTCTGGTTTCAGGACATTCCACTAAACATAAATTCTATCCATTTTTTCAGTGATCATAATGCATCTTTAACATAGGCTGTGTACTCACAGATATAATAGTAGCTCTCTCCTTGCCGGAACTCCTTTCCCAGTGTGAAAGGGGTGAACCGCTGGAACTTTTCAGAGAACTTTTCAGGTGCGTGTGGAGCGAAGGGGCGCGAGCATTCCCACCGGAGCTGGTCAAAGGAGTGGGGCTTGCACACGTCGTAGTCCTCCTTCTCCACCATGTACAGGACGTAGCGTTCGGCAGAGTGCGACGAGACTTCCCCGTGCGTGTAGTGCGGGCAGATGATGTCCAGGTAGTCGTTGATGCGCACTTCCACTGTGTACTCGTCCCATAGGAAACTGCAGAGAGAAGGAAGAAGATACTTGGTTAGAAACATATAGTATTATGAGATGGAGTACCAGGTCTTTTTATGTCCAGTCTGTTTGTGTTAAATGTAAAAAAAAAAAAGCTTTATCTGCTACAATCCTTGACATCAATTGCAAGTTTTGTTCTCCATTTTGATTGTACAACATAAAAAAAAATCATTGGAAATTCCTGCACAATGGACTATGCCTGAAGATAACTCTAATATCAACGCTATTGGAAAGTTTACCAATCAAACTCTGTCAAGAATACGTACAACAAAAACTGGCCACAGAATAAACTATCGAGCAGCTCCCCCACTGTCAATGTACATATTATTTTGGAAAATACAAGTCTATTTTGTGGCTTCATAAAAGAAGAAAGTTGCCATAATTAACAGTGCACCTCTGGCTAATGGAGCATCTTGGTGTTACTACATTATATATAATTTGCTGTGACACCGATTGTTGTGTTTGATACCTTCGCACGAATCAAGACATCCAGTTTTGTAACCGCGGCCCATCCCGCTTGCACAGACACATTTGTAAACAACATGTTTTGACAAGGAAGCTTGCGTGGTGATCGCAACACGTGAACTTGTTTGTTTTCATCGCCGTGACACACTCGCAAAGATCAGGACCGACTGGAAAAATCAGTTTTTGTCAATCCCAAAACACACCTCGTAAAAACCGTCCATCGTTCTATGCTGCTCGTACATGCCTTTTTCTGTTTTCTGGCCCGCAGCCTCCAGTCTCCACAAATCATGTCAGAACTCTTAGGACATTTAAGACTATTTTTATACCAGGGTGTGTGCGAATCCTACAGCTAATTCAGCCTCTCTCCCAATGTGGCCATCAAAGACAATCTTAGCAGACAGACACCACACCGTTTTCGCACGTTTTGTACCTTTCAATTCATTTTTATTGCTTTCTTTGAGCGTTGTCTTATTCGCAAAACGCTTGGTGCCATAATAAAAAACATAAGAACAGGGCCTAAGCTGTCTGAGGAGAGGGAGAAGATAAGAGTAAACGCTAGGGTGTAATTGAATTAGCTAAAATGAGTGAGAAGGAATGTTGTTTTCAAGCTTCTTCATCCCTAGAGTTTAGCTCATATAGTATTGATGTGAGTAGTATATAGTAAAACGATTCTTCCTTTAATTAGTTATTGGATTGAGTTTCAATAATACGACAGAGACGGCTTCATTGAAAGTTTATTGTTTAGTAATTGGTTAATGATTTCTTTGGCCACTCTATTTTTTTTATAATTATATCATTTTTGGCAGCAGCTGAGAGAAAAGGTCATGCCTATGTATCTTGTTTTCATTATATTAAATAAATCAAAGTTGTATGATATGAAGTACTTAAGCGGTTTGAAATATTGTGCTCCTTTAGGCATTTATAATAAGCAGTGGACATGTTTTAAGTCAACTAAGGCTCAAGTTTTGTTCATGGCATTAATGCATTGAACATTGCGATTTTCCCACATGTATTAAAATCACATTTGAATTCTGCACGCTCTCTCTGTGCAGGTTAATGCTGAGTCCATGGCAGCGCGACAGCCCACTCTCAGCCAAGGGCCCGGAGGTGAAGAAAGATTGATGTACATGCACATCTCTGATTACACCCTCCGGAGAAACAAGGGCCTAATTCCAGCAACTCAATCTGTGTTTTAACTGGCATGGACGTGTGCGAGGGGCGAAAGTGACAAGAGCTCCGGTGCGTCTGCGGTTGTTTACGCCAGGGTTGCATCAAAGTCGCACTAGTGGCCCCCTCCTGTTGTTGTGACTCCTGTGTGGACCCCGCGCGCGCTGGCTGCAGACACCGTGGCTCCAAAACACTGGCGTCCCCTCCGGCCCCTCCCTCCAACGGCACTAGTTAACGCTGCTAACCGACCTGTCAAAACATGCTCTGTGCAGCCACTCTACTCTGCAAGAAGTCATATGAGCTTTATAGTGAGATAACATGACTAAAGCTCAAAGTTAAGCAGGTTAGACAACTAAACAGTCCACCTATGGATTTTTTTAACCTTTGTAAATATTTTCCGAGATGTTCTATTTGTTCCAGTACAAAACGTAATGAACTACTTTGCTCAACTCAAGATAAAACGTTATCAATTCTGGTAATATCTCTTCAATCTTTCATTTGTTTTTGCTGTTTTGTCAGTGACGATGATTAGGAAATGTTACTGGAAAGCAATAACACGCAACAATAGCATGACTTATGATTGATTTACCATTTGTTGAGTCATTTTCAGCATACAGTAACAAATTACACTGTTGTGCAATCATTGGAGAAATCTGGGGTTTTTCCATATATTTCTAGTAGCAAGGACCATGAAAAGGTTTTTATGCACCAGTATATAATAGATCTTAATTAAACATCGATCATCTGTGCCGTTGCTATTTTGTTTTTCTTTAATAATAGCAGAATCGGGTGCAGGGACGTGAATGATCTTTCATCTTTTTTTCATTACACTTGCGCTTCTTTTGTGGTTTTCCTCCCTCCTCGTACCCTTGCTAGGGTTCTCCCTGACCTCTGCATGAAATGAAACCCCACTTGTCAAAAGGCAACAAAAAGCTTGGATTCAGTTGCTAATTTAATTCATAGCTCATAGTCACTGCTTTTTGAGACAACTCTCCTTTTATCACCCCTCCTCCTTTTGCAAACTGCCTGGCTAATTAAAAGCTGTTAGGGGTCTGGGCTTAGGTGTTCTTGAAAAAAGCAAGGCAGGAGGACAGAGCAGGGTGTAATTAAAGCCTTTGCCTCCCCAAAGAAAGAATGACCGGAGGCTATAGGGCCCCTTCTACCTCTGCTACCTTACCCCCTGTGCTGCTTTCACTAACTTAACATTGAGAAGAGAGGGCCCCCGCGGAGTGCACTTGAGGTCTGTGCATATCACCATTTATCTTCAATTGTTTATCATTCAATTACTGTTATCTTTACCACAAACCCACAGGGAGCAGATAATCGAGACAAGACCAGGTTTTGTTCTTTTCAACCTTTTGTCAATATATCTCAAATGCGTTTCAACAAGAAGGATGTTTTTTGTTGAGCTTAAAAATCTATTAGCATAAAGCTTGATTTAATGTGTTTTTTTGAATCCACATGCATTCAGTGGATCTCACCAAAGCTCTTAACTTGTTCAAACTCGCGTTCATTTTGGCATTTTAAGAAAGATTCTAAAGTAGACCTGGCAAATACTGGTACACATGCATGCATCATTTTCTATTATGTGTTTGTGAATGCACTGTTGCAGTCTTTGTTTGCATCAGATCATAAAATGTAGTACTTTTGAGAGACTTGGCACGCTCCCTTCTGAGTCGACTAATTCGCCAAGCCACTGAGGCATGATTTTCGTATCTATTCTTGCTTCCACACCTCATCAAACGCCCAGGGCCCATTTGAGAACCTCCCCTCCAGCGCTAGCCCTTCTCCGACAACTCTCAAAGCGGTGAGACTCGCACTGCCATGAGAGCTGTGTGTGAGCCGGTGCCAGGTGTTGGAGCGTTGTTCGCAAACTCTGCACCGGTCCCTCCTCTTTCCTTTCGCCCGCGACATTCTCAGAAGACCCTTGTAGCGGGCAACTCAAGCCTGGGGCGCAAAGCAAAGGCACATCTGTTTCGGGAGCCCTCCTGGAGCTGGCTGTGAGTTATAGGGGGTTGATTTGTGGGCAAACATTCAGGGTGGAAGGTGGTTGTAGCACCTCTTCCGCTCCCAGCCAGGTCACTTCTCACATGATAGTGAATGTGGCCATGTGCGTCAGCAGCCAAGAGACGTATAAAAATCCATGTTATGACAGGAGGTGATTTTTCCAACACTTGGAGCTTTGAAGTCCAGCTATTGTCAGTGTATTGTAGTCTTAGGCGCCATACTCTCTCTAGTCGTTTGTGTCCCCCCCCCAGGCCTGCTATAATAATTTATGTTGAGGGAGAGACTGCCACTCCCCCATAGGTCATTGAGGATTCACACTTTAAGTTTGCTAGGAATCGCTCTTGTTGAAATATCTGATGGAATGTGTGCAATAACAACTCCTAATAATACTTTGAATCAATCTTTTATTAGTTTCAGTATCAGTTTGTTGTATAAAATTCAAGCTCAAGATTTATGATTTACCTTTTCAAACTCAATTTTTAATTAAACTTATTGCAACTACAAAGTGCCAAAGTACCCCAGTAGTAGTAGTAGTAGTAGTAGTAGTAGTAGTAAATGAATAGTTTTGTTGTTTTAGTACTGGTTATATTATGGACATGGCAAATACTATTTCCATTTTCTCTGATATAATGAAATGTGTAGCAGACCTTTTGAAACCACTGCACATCCAAGCCCAAATTAGCCCCCAGTTCTTGACAATACAGACCTAATTACTCATATCCCGGTTGAAAGTGATCTATGGTGGCTGTCATAACCTCCCTTTTCACTTCTTCATTAGGCTGCTTGGTGATGAACGACCCCGCGCCCTGCACCCCCAACCTGGGGCTGACCGTTTGGGCCCTCAGCCGCTGCAGTTGTCCCCAGAGCTCTGCCTGTTTGGCCCCAACAACTGACTCTGACCACGCTGGCCGTCACTCGTCTCTACAGGGAGCCCAGCGCACCGCCTGCCAGGTCAGCAAGGCCAAAACCCTGGGGTCAGCACTCTCCGCACACGGCCCTTTCCGAGTCGGAGAGTTTTGGCAGCCTTAACAGATGCAGGTAATAGCAGTGGCTGCATACTGAGGCTGGCGTGTTTGTTGCGCTCTTAAATTCTCCTCTTCTCGAGTTTCATTCTGAGGTGCACTTAATACTCTTTTCATTCGCGACGGTATGGCAGATTCGCACCCTGGTTCACACGCCGCAGAGCTGTCAGGGTCATAATAGGTTTAGCCTGCTCAGCGTTGGGCTATTAAATTAGAGCCAGTCAAATACACAATGAAACGTCTCTTTGCATTAACTATCAGTAAGTAATGCGCCTTCATTTCAATTTTTTTTTTACAGTCTATGCAGAGGCCATGTTTCTAAATCTGTAGTTCAACTATCACTATGAGCTCTCTAAACTTTTTCACAATGGGTGATGGGAGGATTGGGATCATAAAAACCCAATTTTTGAACTTTTAACTGTCTGTTATATTGATGTATGTGAAAATCTAATCTAAAACTATTCAGATAAGGCCTGAGCTGCCATTGTGTCAGTAGTACAGAGACAATATCTTTAAAAACGGAATACCAATTAGACAGAAATACCATGAATAGAAACCACTATTGATCCTGTAAGTGCTGCAGCGCAAACAGGAGTAGTAATGTTGTCGTATCTATTCAACGATCCTTACTCTCCATAAGGCCAAGTGTTCTTTAATTGCCTGCATTTCCATTTTCCTCCTACAAAACTCTCCGCCCTCTATCCATCACTGTCCACTCTCTCCTCCTCTCGTCTGTCTGTTCTTTTATTCCGACCAAATTATCCCTTCCCCCCTTTTCCCCTTTCTCTGCTCCACTGTGCGCAGTCCCCTAAGTTGGACATAATATACCCGACCGCTTCATCCAGACTAATTTCCCCGCACAAAATCTCCATTCTCCGCCGGTTCACCCTTCACCCCGGCCTCCAATCCGCCTCCTCCCCAAAATCTTTTCTCACACCAGGCCTTTCTTTTGCCTTTCTCCATTATTGAGCCATGAATAGGACAAGGCCAAATGGTATCATGCTTGGCTTAATTTGTTCTGTCAGTTGAGTGAAAGTTGAGTTAAACTGTGCAGTACAGTTTTGCCGTCTTTCCCAAGTTGTAAACATGTGCAATTAGAACTAACTTGTTTTAGATCAAAATGTTTGTTAATGCTGTCAGATGTATCCTTTGGGAGGCAGCAGCGAGCCACAAGTGGACACTTAAGTATGCTTGCAATGTCATGAATGAACACGGCATACGAATGTAGCACAACTACACTGTGGGTGTGAAGAATCGCTATCTAGAAGTGGTTGTTGTAAAAATCCGAGTGCAAAACACTGCAGGGATTGTGAGAAAGAACCAGGGGAAGGACTGAAGGAAGTGTGCAGCAAAGATAAGCAGCAGAAAGGAAGAGCTCAGAGTGAATAGTGGAGTCTGCAAAGTTGCATTGTTGTCAATACTTTAGTACATTATAGGCAGCAGTAATCAGTCAGTTACCTGTATTGACTACACCAATGGCCCAACAGATACTTGTACAATCTCTAAAGATGCAAACAGATGCAAGTTACATAAATGCAAATATATATAATTGTGTCTAAAGTGAGCAATAAGACCGGAGGTGGCTTGTTTTGGAATTGTGTTTGGGAGGAGGGGAGGGGTGAAGGGGGGAAAAGGGTAACTTTGGCCATCTAAACTTATGGCTCCGGGCCGGACCGTCGTGTTGGGGCAAGCATCGCCTCCTTTAATAACTCCAGACAAGACCACAGTACACCCAGACGCTGATAAACAGAATATTACATTACAGGAAAGATATGAGGATCGGGGGAAATAAACAGTCTAGGTAAAGAGGGATCGGACGCAGCTAAATTACAACGTATCACAGAGATATAAAGTTAAGAATAGTGAGCCAGAGGAGATGTCAAGAGGAGGTGGTGAGAGAACGAGGGCCTGGTGCCAAAAGGAATAGATCCAGCTGTTAAGATAGTGGAGACTGGAGCTTGGAGCAGGCAGGTACAGGCAGCTGCAACTCCAGTATAGTAACTGGAATGGGCCCGGCTGTGTGGCTAATATTAACCTCGAAAGTCTTCCCTGTTGCCCCCCAGTGTGGTGTAAACCGTGACTCACACTCCCTCGCACACTGCCTACGGTAAATGGCCACTCCCCAAATGAACTCTCTGACGTTGTGGAAAGGCCGGCACGTAAACTTTTCAGTCCACAATGAAAATAAAACTACGAACAACACGCAAGCCAAGGCACGCATTGCACAACAACACCTGGTTTAGCACAACACAGCACACCTGTCAGGAATACATATTGTGTATCAGATTGAACTTTCTAGTGGAATGGGATTAGCTGGTGTAATCATTACACAGGCAAAGACGTGCGCATAGAGACAGGATCCATACTCTCCATTGGGGTGGCATGAATAGACAAGCTGCTACCATCTGGTCTGTGGCTTGCATGTAAGACAAATCTCGGCCGCTCTAAATTACACAGTGGATCAATTAGCATCTATTATGAATGGCCAGCTGCTGTCAAAGCCCGAAGCTGTATCTCATGTAACACTGATTGATTGGTGACTCTTACTCTAGAGTTATGAGAGGAATCAGATTAGAAAGTTAAGAATGCGTAGGTCAAGAGACAACGGCCTGTCTGTGGCCTTTAGCTGACATGATTCCCTTGGCACATATTACAATGAGAAGCTTATAGAGTTCACCATATATTCCATAGTACTGCACATATGCTCTAAACCCTGCGGTAATGACTATATGGCTATATTTAGTTACAATGGATTATGATTTGTCTTGACAAAATAAATCCAAGGGAGGGATTGTGAGTATAGACACAATTGATGTGTGGAACAGATTTGATGGATGTGTTTTGACTGGATCAAAAGCCAGACAGTGGAATCGACCAGTGACACCTGGTTCCACCCCCTTTGCAGGTGACTAAGTTGTAGCTCAGGTAAAGTCAAGGCTCGGTACCGATGACTCACGCACGGAGTAACCCATGACACAACCACCCTGCGTGACGACAGGGCCCACGCTGTTTTATCCAATTAGCAAATCAATTGTTGTTGCTGAGCTGTTCTGATTTGCGTTGTTGCCATTGTTTAAAGGGCACTTAGAGACCTTAATGTAATCAAGCACTTTACATAGCGCGTTCTGCCTTTGCCTGTCTGTATGCGGTTAAATGAAAGCAGACGCGGCTGATTTTGTTACAGAAAATAAATGCAATACTGTTAGTTCAGGGATATCACGCCACACGGAAAAGCGCAATAAATCGCACTCGTCTGTCAAGTCATATCGATTCCCTATCTGCTCTGGGGATGGGGTTACATGCCCGGCCTCTAAAGTACACAATTATCAGCTATTTGTGTTTCCCTTTGTGGAGCGAAATTACGCACCAACTTCCTCCCTCCACCAAGGCGCGCGCTCTGCAGTACATTTATACGCATTGGGAGTAAGTTACATGGTTATAAATGTGTTGCAATGCAAACTAATAATACAACCCCATCGCACGTCAGTCTATTTAAAAGTACTGTACTTTTACTATGTCCGCGTTAAATATATCCAGGGACAAGTTTGCCGCGCCAAGTTCTTTTGCTTTTACGCACAGCTTGTGGCAACCCAGTCAGACGAGTGTGTACCAGTGTAGTCTTTCATTAACCTGACAGCTCCTTTGTTAAATCAGTCACATGAGCAGAACAACAGTGGTTCGATTGTTAGTCACGCAGAGGAAAAACATAGAAGTAATGAGCCGTATTCAGTGTGGACCTTCGTGCGTAAAAGTCAGACAACTACATGCATTGGAGCTACTTCCATAATAAAACGCTTTGTCAAGTTGTAAATAGACACAAATACAGAAAAATACTAACTTTGGGTTTGAGCTGTTCCAGTAGACGCTGTGCCTCTCCGCTGATGCGAACCATGCGCTGATGCTCAGAGTCAAAAATATCAGCAAATCCATTGCTCCACTTCGCGTTCTCAACAATAGGTGCATTCAGGATAAAAATGAAATAGACTTTCTGTCAGAACACAACAACAACTCGTGTCCTCCTTTGGCTCAGAGTTACTAAAGTTGCCTACGCTGTGTTGCAATTCGTCTCTGTCTTGGCAGAGCGCGTCCTGGGTGTTTTGTTCAGTAGCCCAAACGCCCACTCACAATCAGGCAGCCAATCAAACGCCATAGCGCTTTATCCCCCCCCGCCCTCAGCCAAATCACCATCTACTCGCACTTAAAGCTTCTGCCAGTGAAGGTCTAGCTGGAGTGATTTTTATAGTAAGACCAGTGCGTGATAAAGCTATACAGATCAAATAGATGAAATAGGGCAGATAAGACTAGGATTATTCAAAGATAAAAATAACCCACTGGGAACGTTACTGTTGCTCTGAGCTGAAATGCCCAATATTTTCATGAAACCACAGACTACATTAAATAGAAAAGCCACATAAACACAACTTAAATTGCAGCATTGCGGTCATATAATTTCAGCTGTAAAAGTGTTGACATAAAGGGTTGGATTTCCTTGTGCCAGTGTTTCTATGTTATGTCTTATTTATGGTAAACCACATGGAGCTAACTTGTGCTCAAGGACTTCACTTGTTGACCACTTATGTTTTAATGCAGCCAAAAACGGCAGGATATTTTTATGCATATTCGGGGTTAGGTTACATATTTTGTATTGTCTGTATTTTGTCCAAGCTTGCTGTTGTGCTGATTGCTGCAGACAGTATAGAGTTATTGCAGTCTTATCAGCCGGAGTCATCTCGTGGTCTCCGTGCAGTCGCAGCCCCTGACTGGTTAGTGCAGTAGACACAGATGTGATGGATGAACTGCTGAGCACAGGGCGTCGTATGGGACTGTGTGAACCCAGCAGCAGAGACAGGCGCCCCCCCTGCGGCGCTGGTGCTGAGGGGAAGAAGTGATCTGCACGAGTACAAGGCAAAAGGGCACTGAGGGCAGATCCAGAGCTGGAGAAAACCAACACACTGTATGCTCTTCTGAGTTTGGCTTCAGTAGTAGACAATTGAGCGCAGTGATTATTTGAAACATATCCTAAATCTGGTGTAGTGTTGTTTAAAATTGTCATGTGAGCATTGAGACATTTCATTTATATCTTTCATTTGTTTGCCTGTTACGATGCTTTCTTGTTTAAATAGGACAATTGACAATATGTAACTAGAAGTAGTGTTGAATTAATTAATTTGCGTTTTCAATATCATAGATTTTGGTTTCACTGCTCTGCTCTGGATTTAATGTAAGAAAAGTCTCCCCATGTGTCACTCTTCATTCATCTTTTAAATGTGACATTTCAGTCCTTCCGACCTTCCTTTTCTTACAAAGTTCACAGTTAAATACTTTTGCTCTTTGCACCTGTCGCCCAGTCGTGTGTGCAAGTCTAAAAGGAAACTTTCTCTGCATTCTACTACAGTATAAATAACTATAGTGACATACAATTAAACACTTGCTAAATATAATTGCTAAACGTTTTTTTTAGATCAGAAAGGAACTATGTAGTCTTACATTTAACATATTATGCAGTCAGGTTAATTTAAGCACCCATCAGATGGACTGATCACCATAACACATTGTGAGTTTTAAGTAGTTCATTGGGGGTCTGACCCTCCAGATTGCAGACTGTAAAACATCTGCTTTCTCCTGTGTTGGGATTTACATATATTGATTTGAAGTCGTAATCCTAATGATATATCGTACAACCTTTTAGAGAAGCCCTTCCTATTTTTATGTGGCCTATCGACCAATGCACACACGTATACATTCATTCAAAGCAATGTTTACAGTTTGATCTAGTTTGATCCAGTTCTACGCAATTTGACTGTAAAGACCCTTTTATGTCAGATTATAGACAAACATATGGGATTCATCAATACCGAGGGTTCATCTATCTCCATAGACACAAGCAGATGAATCATGGAAAAGTCAGATCTGTGTAAAGGCTCACAAGGTCTAGACTACATTCTTGTTACACTATTGTTAATTCTTGGTAAAGCAAGAACATCTCCAAGCAGGTGGCACACCTGTCGCTTGGAAAGTTACACAAAGCAGCTTTATTTAAAGTCACCACTTCTATTCAGTTTGTGATGCATGAATGTGCTGCAGTGAATCATGGAGCTGGGCTGTGCACCAGGATAGCCCCACTGTAGGAGGACTGTCTCTCAGTGCCAGGCCACTTCAGAGCCTCAAACCTGAGATCTCCTCATGATACATGAGGCCATACACCACCACCACCAGTGGCAGCAGGAGGAACACATTTAGCACATATCACAACCCACACCTCCGTTTTATTCCCTGTGCCGTGGGAAGAGTGAGATGGCTGTGATCTTCCGTAGCACAGAGAAACCAGGTTCTGTCTGCAACTGTGGACCCTCTGAACACAAACATGAAAACAAATGTTCATGACAGTCACACTGTTTGTGAGTGCTCTCATCAGTATCCGCACGAATCAAAAATGTGAGATTTTCAGTTTTTCAGCCTTGAACAGTGGAGCACGACTCTTTGGTAGATCATTTTGGGAGGTTATGTCGTGCTTGAAAAAGGCTCATTAGAATTATCTGTTCATCGTGAGCAGATTTTCCCATTCACATGTCTGAGCAGTTTTGATATGATTCTATGATGTGCCATTGGTTTGATTCTATATTCTAAAATCTTAACAGTCTGTCCCAGGGCAGCTGTGGTAGTATTCTAACTTACTCTCATGAATATGTCAAGGTGATTACATCATCACCCTATCCTTGGTTAAGTTTGCAAACAGAAGTTTCGGTTTAGACATATTAATGTCATTATTACATATACTTGACTGATATACGTAAATTACAATTTTATTTTATAGAACTTCTCTTCTTTGCTGATCACAAAATACGGTGACACCTTCCAGGAAAAGAATTTTTTTTCTCCTCTGACAAAGTCAGAACCCTGCACTAAAAACTAAGGTAAGGTTGTGAATCTTTAATAATTTGTGTTTTTGAAATGGCTGCACATGGACAGATTGGGAAGTCGTGGGAAGGCCTGAGAACAGTGACAGCACAGAATATGCTTGTTTATTTTTCATCCACAGTCTGCAGGTGTTGTGATGTCTGCTGTTACATCCATTCAAAAGCACTGTTACGTAAACATCAACCACCAAGTCACCATCCAAACACTTTCTGCTCTGATTCTGAGTTGTATTATTATTGTAAATGCAGCTTGATTATCTCCTTGAAAGAATATTTATTGTATTGTTTTTAGATTGTGTCATAATCAATGCTTTGTTCAAAAGAAACTATCATTTGATATAGTAGACACATTGGTGTAATTGGTTAAAAGTACAAATGCCCAAGGGATTAAAAATGAAAAATGCAGCGTTTATAGAATGGACTATTTCTTCTTTACTCACATTAGTCAAGGCTGACAGGGTCATAGATTTGAAAAGGTACAGGAACAGATGTTTAGAAACTAAAACGTAACATTTCAAAGGAGATGATCTGAAGCAAGGTGAGTGATTCACCAAAACATATTTTATCCAAGAATTTGCATAGAGGTGGTTTACCGAGCTTTCATATTTCATACATAATACATAATTCCAACAAAAACAGTCTTGTAAAAGTGACATTTTGTGAGTAAGTCAGATCTTAATCGAAAAAAAAAAAATGTCTCTTGCATTCTAGCAGAAAAGAGCCCTGTGAGTCACGAGTTGATGCTTTGAGCTGAGGGTTGTTTGTCTGAGCGAGGATGGTTCTCTCTTATTCACTGGGAGCAAGGAACTGGGAAGATTAGATTTATTTTACTATGTTCCAGTTTTTGTGGTTTAAAAATGACATAGATGTTTCTAAATTTAACATATTATATCTTTCATGGGAAGCGTACAGTGTGGAAGTGACAAAACAAATCTTGCAAAATCTTTAATGAAAGACCATAACAAAGTAACAGACAACTAATAAAGCAATTGTGCTAATATTAAAACTGAAAAGTGTGCCCGTGCACTGTATTCACAGACCCTGGCCCATGTTTTGCTGAAGTAAGTGAACCTTAGATCAGACATAGATGTTGTCTGCATAGTTGTGATAGGACACTGTAAAAGTAGACTGACAGAAGCAAGGTTACTAATCTGAGCCCTCGGCCCCTCTGCCCAATTCAGCCACCCCACTGAGGCACCTGATGTTCCCCCAGGTCTCCCATCATATTACTAACCAGCCTCTAATCTGCTCTAAAAACACATTTCCCAATAATAATCCAAACAAACACTAACCACAAATATTTATGCGCTTTTTAATTGTGCTACACGGTCAATATATGAAAAAGCCATGCATTTATTGATTTAAATGCCTCTTCTGAACATAGCCTAAGCTTCTATTTCCATTCGTATTACTCCCATAGCGCTCATCGGAAACACAGGGTCACATGGAAACCAGCATTATGATCCTCCGAACATGGAATAAATGAGATTGAATGGGTTTAATCGCCGCAATATGCTCTACATAAACTCCAGATAATTGTGGGTTGCATCTAAAATAGTCCCCTTTTGTTCTGCTAACCTCAGCCATTAAGAGTGGCTTTAGGCTTGTTAACACTTGGCATTGTTTTGTGTCATGGGCAGCTTGTTGCCCTCCTGGCCTCTGCCTCTGTCCCCCCTCATCAGAGCTGGCTCATAGCGGCACACTCCGACAAGCTGCTCCTTTTCCCCAAACACAAAGAGAACACTATGAAGCCCCCAAGTCATCTGCATACAGGTGGTCCTGGGCACACTTCTGTTAACCGGCATGTGTCTGGATTTAGGCAATAGTCCCGCTACAATGGCTTCGGTTTATAGTGGCAGGGTTTTGACTGGGAGCGTCCAGGCATGGCAAACTGAGCACCAAGAGTGAACAGTTGGGAGAGCTCAAAGTTGGCATGGGATACACAGCAACAAATATGTAAAATGCTATGACAAATAACAATTTAGGATTTGTTTTGATACATCAACATAGTTTTTAATAGGGATTTGGTAGTAGATCAGAAGTAGTAGATTTCCACAATAAAAAGATTGCGTATTTTGATTCTTGTCACCATATTTGCCAGCCCTACCTGAAATAATTCAAATAACTTTACATTTACACTGAAGCTGTATGATTGCAGATCAGAACACATACAAAAATAAAGTAAAAACATCCTTATGTAAACAAATCAGACCACAACATGTAAGCTTTCCCATACTGTGGGTCACTATTCGAAAAGTCAAAAATATAATGAAAAAATGGAGATAACTACCCTTCATCAGACATGACAACCAATCAGACCACATTATTTTAGCTTTCCCATACTGTAGCATCCCTTTATTTTTCACTTTTCTCTCAATTTTTCTTTTTTAAGATGTGACTGAGGCCAGACATGAATGGGAAAACTAATGATCCATCCACACTGTTATGAGCGATAGGATTTTAACAGTAAAATGACAATTTATCTCTGTCATCCTGCCCACTTAAATAGCTTTGATGCTTGTCTGTTAAATGCTGCAGACTCTGATCATAAATAATGCTTTGGAGAGTCGGGATTTGACAAAATGTATGTAGCAAAGTTTTTATTTCTTACTTCTCTCAACGTGCATGTCAACAAAGTTAGTAGGATGAGTGCGGATAGTGGGGGGAGATAGCATCCCCCACCACTTAAGGAACAGCAGTTCGAGAATCATTAACTGGCACATAAGCCGGCACACTTCAGTCTTTCACCCTGTCCAGGTTGTGTCGTTTTCTTTTGAGTCACAGAAAACAAAAAACAAAGACCCAAGTGAAATATTTAACCAGCCCACTCGGCTCACAGCACCATCATTTGTTCTGTGTGTGTCCCGCTGCCTCCTCTCTAAACTCAGCTGTTGTCTCTGCTGTCTCGCGGTCCCTTTTCTTCTCCTTCATCTGTTCACTTATTTCCACAGAGAACTCCTCAGCCTGCGGCCATCGCGCATACACACACATACACACATCTACACACACACACATACACACACATCTACATGATAAACTTCTAGACTATTCTCTCCTCTGCAGCCTTGATCTCTTAGCCTTTTCAGTCCATTGTGATCCTGCTAAGTCCAAAACCATTTAAGTTTTCTCATCTGTTGGAACCACACCTGCGGCTGTACATTTGTTACGAAGGGAATCCATTACGCCGCCCCTCTCCTCGCTCCTGGTCCCAGCCATATATTCATTAACATGGTGCTAATGATCCCAGATGGACTGACATGTACTTTATGGGGGCGAGGTGAGAGTGGCTTCTTCCAAGGGTGTGCGTGGGCGAATGTATGCGTGGATGGCTGCTGGCTACATGTGTACATATTTGTGTGCGCATGTAAAATGTGCACGGCTCTATCTGCATACAAAAAGGCTGCTTGTTTGGCCTGTAGTCAGTGATCGCTTAGACCTCTCACAAACATGCTGGCAACAATAACAGAATTTGCAATGTGAATGAGAGAAAAAACTATTTCTTTGCCTTTCAATGAAGCCGAAGCAGTGGAGGAAATGACAAACCAATGACCAAAGATAGAGATGTTAATGTATTCAAATGACAGTAGTGGCAAGGAACCTACTCTTTCAAAAGGTGTAGTACAGACAAGTTTACAGAGATTGGGAGTGCAGAATTTCAATCCTAAATTTCATACACGGCCTTGATGTCCCCAGATACGAGTTAAATGTGTTTAAATAGAAATATTGCCTTTGCTGTGGCAGCACTGGTACATTACAATAACAATGGGTCTAGTTGTTGATGTAAGTCCTTTGGTTTCAAGACAATTATCCAATCAAAGCAGTTTAAGATTAGAGAAGTCCTTTATTTGTCCCACCGTGGGAAAATGTCAATGTTGGAACAGCGTAAAGTTGGAAAGACATACCAGTTCAGGCACTGGTGGGAAACTGTTTAAGATGAACACACAATCTGGAAAAATACATGTATCACAATTAATTTCCCTCATATTGATCAATCTCAATTTTAAATTTGTTTTTCTTTATTGAAATATACATATATACATTGGCGTACGAGCCGGAGTAAACACTTAACTCAGTAATAAAGTTTATCTTTGATCAGAAAGGTCACTCACATGCAACATGAAGCAGTGATCATAGGGCAGCATGATTTTGGCCAAATATATAATTGCAATTGAAAAAATATATAGTGCCTACTACCAAAAGTGTCTGTACAGCTTGAATTTAAGCACATTTTGTCACGGTACAATCAATGTTAAATGTTCAATGTTATTTATTGAACTTTTTAACATTAGACATACAAAATTCAGTAATAAAAAGAAAAACCACAGTACAAAGTAAAAATGCAGCTGATAGTCAACCCCAACCAAGATACCCCCACCCCACACCATAGAATAAAGACACACACACACACACGCACACGCACATGCACACACACAGAGAAATGTGAGAGGAACCATAGTCAATTCCAGTGTGTATATGCAGACAGGTAACCCATCCCCTCTACTACAATTGTAATCATCCTCCAGGCCATGAATACAAAAGAAAATCCTGATGTTTTTGGTTGAGACATGAAATGCAAAAGTTCAAGCTGGATAGACACTTTCACAAGGTACTGTGTGTTTTCTGTCCTCAGACTCTCTGCACTGACACCCAAATTCTGTTTTTGTAGTAGATTTCTTAAACCCCGTAAAAAATACCACATGAGGGTCCACTCTTTGAACCGAACGAAAACATTCTGAGACGACTGAGCCTGGAAGGTCATCGGGCTTAAAGTCCCCGGGTACAGTTTGGCCTATAATCGTTGCAATAAGCAAGGAGATTTGTGAGCAAGGAGCACAGACCTAAAAGCCTTCTTTTCTGATATCACGTATCAAAAACACTCTAAAACTCAAATAGTCCCTTTCATTTCTCACACAGGAGTATTGGATGTCACTCTGTCCCTCACTAACAATCTTGCGGCTGGACACAAGCTTCAAAATCACGCGGAACAACGCAATTACCACCGCTTCCTTGTGTTTCACTTACTTTGGTCAACCTGTCTCCAGTTTCGCCAATCAATATCTGTCTGTTTTGCAAAGTGACCCCTTCATCCTCAGATATGTGGGGTATGCTAAACGCGTCTAATGATAGGACCGGGATTAGTGTTTAAGTGTAGCCAGAGAAGCTACGGCGCTCATCGCTGCTAACCAAGTTCAGATGGACCACTGCAAAGAAAGAATCTCTGTTAGAATGTTGCTGAAAAATCTAGGCCACGTACAGCATGCACAGATATAGCACATAGTAGGACTGGGCAAAAAAAAGATTCATGATCGTCCCCCATATTGACAAAACTAGATTTATGATATTTATTTTTCTTATCCTATTAACCAAATCAACCAACGTACCATTTTGTGTTTTAAAGTACAAAGACCCATGAGATTGAAAATGTAATGCCAAAAGCAATATATTTTTGACAAACTTGTGCATGGTTTGTCAAATCAAACTAACATAATATACAGACTAGTATAATATTTTAGCCAATCACAGTGACGGGCAAGGTCACATGAGTGCTTTTGATGCTACAAATTTGTTTTTATATCTTTTGAATTGTGGGTTAGAAATGCTGTGTCTATATACATCTCTAATCCACATTGCTCTTCTAAAATCAATACATTTGAATAAAAATGATATATTTTAATTAGGGCTGTCCAAAATAGCGCGTTATTAACGCGTTAACGCAAATCAATATTAACGCCGTCATTTTTTTTATCGCGCGATAAAAAAAAAAAAAAAAAAAATTTTTTTTTTTTTTTTTACTTTTTATTGCAGACAAACACATAGAAACAAAGAAAAGGACTAGTTCAGATACATTGTAGACAGAGATTACAAACAATATGTAGTTGGAGATACAGGGGGCCAAAGAAGAAACCCAGAAGGGCACATAGGAGGGGAGGGGGGGGGGGGACATGAAGTGGGAGATGGGGGGAGGGGTTAATAAAAAAGGCAATACAAGCAAACAGTATACAGTCATAGATATACCGAAGGTAAACAGAGAAACAGCATAGAGTATTTACATGAACAAATTTACAAAATATTTACAGATTGTTTATCATCAGCATAATGACAACATGATGTTTCTATACAGTCTATGGTCTATACCCACACATACACACACACACCCACACACACACATTGAAGGGGCTTTTTGTTACCAATTATTTATTTTGTCATCCATTTATTGATGATTTTGCATCAAATGTTAGTGTGTAATATAACACTACACATTGTTTTCAATAAAAAAAGCAATTGCACACAGCACGCAAATGTGTGACTAATTTGCGATTAATCGCGAGTTAACTATGAAATTCATGCGATTAATCGCGATTAAATATTTTAATAGTTGGACAGCACTAATTTTAATATAATATTTTGTTCTGTATGTCGACTACGGTTAGCCCATCAGAAGAGACATAAACTCTGACTTAAGTTTCAGCATTACAGAGGCGGGGGCAAAGTGCACGTATGGCCGTCATGGATACATTAGCATTTTCTGCATTCATACACACTGCCTTTGACCTCCTCCAAATATAGTTTACTGCAGGAGTAGTACTCACATAGCAGTACAACAAGTGTCCATCCAGCATAAGCTCAGCAGATACGTCAGAACGACACATAATAAGTACAGTTTCCATCTTCGTCTGGTCGCCTTTTCTTGTTCTGACACTATTGTTAGGTTGTTCTTTTATTGACAGACCTGCACTAAGACGTTAACGTTTGAGGGATAGATATATAT